GCATCTTTCGGATACTTGTCCGACGTCTTTTTGCTCGAAGAGTATCAGAAATTGCGACTGGGCACGCCCTTCATGCGTCATATACTCGATGCTGACGGACGAGACAGATGGCGTTGGGTGCTTCATGCTAGTCATGCCGACACTTGGTACCAAGACAAATTTGGTTTCAAGAGCATCGGGATCACCAGGCTCAAGCCTGAGGACAAGTCTACGGTCTTGATGGAGAGGGATGGACGAGACACGCCGGTCATTGCGGCACAGAGCACGAATTCGAGTGCACAAACAAACGAAGCAGCGGTAGCACAAGCGGATGCCAGCGCGGATGTTTCGTCGGTGTAGAACGAATGGGGACCATCAGCGTGAGGCGCGTGCAGCATGCCTCGCCACCACAGAAGCGTCGCCAACATCTTCGATGCTTCCTCCGTATTACTCTCCTGTACAAAGTTTGCCTGTGCAATCGGACACACGACCACGTAGTCGTACAAGAAACAATCAAATTCGGTGCGGTCGCATAAGCGGACTTTTTGAGGCGGCTGCCGCAGCCACTGTGGCTACCGGCGGCAAGAAATCGTGTATCATCAAAGACAGCAGACTCGGGTGAGCCTACGGCACTGATGTAGACGTGGACAAATTGCCAAGCTGGCCATTTTAGAGTTTGGCAAGTAGTAGTAGTGGTGGTATCGCCAAAAGACTCGCGCAGAGCTCGAGGCTTGGATGAAGGGCGCTGGAAGCGAAAGCTCGTGGAGGTTGTATGGCGCCCTGCGGCGTCCAGGGAGACGTTCAGCCGCCCAGCAGACGAGGGCGATTTTTCTTCCAGAAGCGCCCCATACCTAAAGAAACTAATTCGCCACCGAGCTACTACCGCTAGATGGTTGGGTGCGGTAGTATCACGTCTACTCGTTGCGTTTGCAGGCACTGCTCAAGGGCTAGAGATCATCAAAGCCGGCGCAAGACCGACTCGTCTACGCTAAGCCAGCCCTCGGTGGCGCACAGACCGGCACGAGGTGTCCTCGTTTGACCCGTCTCTGGATGTCCTCTTTCCAGTCCAGCTTTGCCCGCCAGTCAAGCTTGACTCGGTCGTGCTTCGGATGCCCCAGCGCTCGCGCGCAGCCCCACTCATCCGTAACAGACGATGAGAAGCGTGGACGGTGGGGAGTCAGATGAATAGCTTTTGGGACGACCTCAGCGGTCCCTGGCCCGTTTGGGAGTTTCTTCGCTCGGCATAGCAGCGTGATAGTAGGCCGAGTCGGGCAGACGATCGGACCTTTGCTCTGGCTTGTGGCGGACTCACATTCTGGGTTCTGTCGTTGGCACAGTCAAGAATCCGCCACAGACTTCACCGTAGTCACAAATGTTCGCCTTCACCGGCAAAATCTTGCCTAGGGCTGTGAGTGGAGTGACAACGTCATCCAACTTGGGCTGCGGGGTTGCGACGCCTTGCGCAGACAAGCAAGCAAGGTTGGTAATCAATTGCTGATTTGCGCTTCAAGGCTATCCTCAGATGCACCACCTCGCGCGCACAAATAGCTAGAGTTCCCAATCGTAAAG